CGATTGCCTTAGTCCTTACAGTGGTAAGTAATTATCTGAACTTCAGGGACTTGTCCTGATGTTGCATATTCCTCTAGATAGAGAATGTCCTAGATGAATGGCGGACAGGCGAGCGGGAAGATATCCAGTTCACTGCCAAGCTCTACCAGGCCAAGTATGACCGGCACTTGTACGAGTTGGAGCGGTTCCACGACAAGACGAAAAGGTATAGAATCATTCCTTCAATTCAAACTGACCTCTTGAATCAGGCATGGTATGTATCTCTGATTATGTGTCCGTATCTATGGCTTACTTGTTCGGGTTTAGTGAGAATGCTCGGGCTCCCGTGATGGAGCCGAGTGACCTGGGTCCCGGCCTGATGGATGATGACCTTGAACAGGCGATACAGGATTGGTTGGCGCGGCGTGGTGGAGCAAGTGACGATGATCAGGGTGGCGATGTGCGACATGAGGCAGGTCTGGAAGCTGTTGAGGACAGAGAGCAGGCTGTCCCGGATGATGAGTATTAGGGTATTATCTTTATCTTAGAACACATAATATAATTACTGTTGCGTGATAAGAGGCTGATGTCTGATTCTAGTATGGACAATGAGCTGAGTGTGTACAAAAGTATAAATCAGATTAATTACTTTCTATTTGCCTACCGCTGCCTACATAGTCCCACGTAACCTACAAGCCTACTGGCCTACGAGCCAACATCAAGGGGAACCTACCTACCAGACCAATGGCGACCAATGTCATACGGGGGGTACCAACTGCGACCCACAAATCCAGGGGTATGCTACTAGCCAACCCCACTGATAAAGACTACAGAGGCTAATATAGGATAATGCTTTTTTGCAGATGCGCTGCACGCTCTGTAGTGCTCTCTGCACAATTGAAAGCTTTTGAGGAGGGCGCGACCCTCACCACCTTCAGTACTTGTTGCTTAAGAGCCTATATACTGTCATCCAATGTTAATTTTGGCGGCTGTAAAGGATTACAACACCTGAAGCTGTTTTGGGCCTCGGATAAGCTAAGAACAGGCTGCTAACTCTATACAGAGAGGTTCCGGTTTGAGAAGAAATTCACTCCGCTGTACGGGAACCATGCAGTCCAATATAGATGCTACTTGGGCTCTTTTCTCTGCTCAAATCAGCTGGGAGAGGTCGAGGATTGCACTGTGTAGTTGCGCATGCCGACGCACGGCAGATGGCATCCACGCGAGCCTGCCGTTTCTGGCAGAGAAGCCTGCCTTTCTTGGAACGCGCGAGAGCTTTGGAAGACTTCTGCGACGTCGATACCAAAAATGAACAAGCCTCCATTTAAGACAGTTGCTCGTCTACTAAGTCTTATTTAGGAGGCGCAGTATCAAGCCTAGTGATGCCGCGGTCCGGCCCGGTCCGGTTATTGGCCCAAATTTCCGGACCTGGGACCGGACCCAAGGTCCAGTTCGGGTAAATGTCCGGACCGTGAACCTCAAAGAACCCGAAATGGCATTGGGTCCGGTCAGGTTCGGGTTCGAACCCTTCAGAATTACCATATTTAGGTATGGTTCGGGCATTGTGGCACCACCTGAACCTCATTTCAGGTTCGGTCCACCCCAAGGCCGGACCGCGCACCAGAACCTGGGTCCGGTCCGAGGTTCGAACCGGTTCTCCCAGGTTCGGGAACCGGACTGCGGCATCACTAGGCTGGTAACAATGCGAGCTGTGCACCCTTGAATCTGTTACAGCCATTTGCAAATCGATGGGCCCACTTTTTGAAAATCATTTACAGTCGGACCACGTCGGACAAGCAATTTCAAGTCCCCGAGAGACAGAAATCAGACCATCTGGACTCCTCTACCTTCTTCCGACGTCCCAGGCACCCACTCCGACCCACTCCGACTATACGTGGTTTTCTGAATTGATGGTCTATCGATCTGCAAGCGGCTGTATCCAGGCAACCGTCAATGCATACTTGTACTGACGGCGCTTGTCGTCAAGAGACTGAGCGGCGAAATGGTGGGCATCAATAGTTTGGGAGAATCCTGTACCAACTTTGCACCGCAATTCGAACCTTGCGCTGCCGGATCCAGGGCCGTTGGATATCCTTATTCCCCGAGTCTGCATTAAGTGCCTGTAGTTATGTCGTTGTTCATGCTGGAAGAAACGGAATGGACGGTAATCTAAGACGCAGTCTGGCGTAAAGGTTGCGACTTTGCGTGAGACGAGAACTTCAAACGCATGCGTGAGAAATGGACCCACAACTCTCGCTTACGCCTCGAATGTAAACGTTGAAGCTGGACTCGGACTACTTAGGTACTAGCCTACGCGATTCTCGTTCAATTAACAACTCCGGTAGCACTCGATTCTTCGTAAGTGGCATACAGGTTGCCGAGGTACTTCAAGAAGTGCATTTGGCGGTCCTGCGATTTAGCGTCTCGCGCAAGAGACGCTTTTGTGCTCCTTTCACAAATCCTTGGAGCCGCCGCCGCCGCGATTCGGCCGACATCGAAAGACATTTCCCGAGGCTTACGTTGTGCAATTCAGGGGTATACTAGTGATCCGCGGTTGCGCCGAGTTGCTCGCTTCGAAGAGCTAGGCGCATCCGGCGATGTTTTTCAGTAAATGTATATACGCAGAGGTATCTACGTGGCAATATGTATCTACGTCTGAACTCATCTCGTCATTCATCCTGGACCAGATTCTTACCCGCCCACTTCTTGACCCGGTTGTAGTTAGTGAAAAGCACAGGTTACGGGAACCCGTGCGGGTCACGGGTAAGGGTACCGGCGGGTACGGGTACGTGTCGCGTTTGGTCTCGAGAATGTGTCGTTCGACGCTCTCTCGAAACCGAAACCCGCGGGTGCGATACGGGTATGCGCCAGGACACCCGTGGGTGTACCCGTGCATTTCACTATTAACATCTCGGTCCCGAAGTTGTCCAAGGCGGCGCTCGGATCGAGCGTGTCGTGGTGCAGCACAGTCCTTGCAGCACTGATATTCGTCGTCCCAGTCATACCTGACATGTGCGAGGGGATGCAGTACCGGGACGGGATTCGGATTCGACTGTGGGCAGGCATAGGATTAGAGAGACGGGTGAGTGTTCGTGCGAGTACAAAAACAACGATACCAGCTTTCTTACCTCCAGAGCTATCTCCATGCGACGCGGCCACATAACGCTTTGTGGTAGCGTCGCGTGAGTGGCGCTGAGGCAGCGCGACGCGACGCGACACGCCCGTGGCGCGGATATGTCGCGAACGCTGCATAACATCGCGCTCGATGGTGGAGGCGGCACCTCTTAGCATAGCTCCAACGTTTACTAGCAGAACGAGAGATGCTATAGGCAGTATGTATATAATTGTTGTGTCTATCGGTCAGGGAGAATCAGTTCGTGGCATGGTTATATGGGCACATATGGGGCTACACAGCACGATTTTTGTAGCGGTTTTTTTCCATGGCTTTCAGCAAATCACAAGGGATATATTCAACGAGTTAGTCTACAGGTACATAGGAAGAAATGAGGGATATACGAGCATCTAGCAATATCATGAAGTGTTTGTGGGTCCCTCAGCCACCGGGAGTAGACTTTGTACATGTTTGTCGCGGACTTCTGCCCTAGTGAAGAATTGCTCGCTTCGCTCGCAACAATAGAGATATTGGATGTGACAGCATGTACATCAATCAGGGTTCGGGGGATCGGCAGTAAGGAAAAGGATGGAAGAAAATAGGAGCTGGTCAATTCTGCTTCTCCTCTTCCAGGAACTCTACGACGCGGTTCATATCTGGCCTCTCCAATGGTTCTTGCTTCCAGCACTCTTGCAAGAAATTCCAGAGGGCATCGCTCAGGCCCCGCGTCTTTACTATGTCTTCCTTGGGTCTTTCAGGGCGAGCGCCGTCTGCCACCCTTGCGGTGATTGTACTGGTGTTCCTAGGATTTGGTACGTAGTACCAGGGTTCCTCGTGGGTTAGAAGCTGGAATTACCGTCAGAGGATATTCCATTCGTTCCCTGAAGACGCGGCTCACCTCAAGAACGGTCATGCCGAAGGAAAACACATCTGAACGCATGCTTTGCTGGGAAAGCAGAAGCACTTCTGGCGCCCACCACTTCTCGGAGTACTGCATCTGGCGACTCAGGAGTACTTGCTTACCGGCGTCCTCGATGATCTGTGCGATGAACGATATCAGGAAGGCATCATGGCAAGTGGGCGATGAAACCCCCCACCTTGGACACACCGAATTCAGTAAGGAGGGGACTACCATCATCTGACTTGATCATCACACTAGCCTAGCATTACTTAGCAGAGAGTCTTGAGAATAAACACCGGATGACTTACCCCACGCACATCGCCATGCATGAAGTCCATATCGTGCATAAACGCCAGGCCCTTCGCAATCCCCCGAAGCTAATGCCAGCTGTAAGGGTGCTCAGACCAACAAAATGCGGTATACTTACTATGCGCATATGATCAGTGTATGGTTCCTTTTGAACGTATTCGATGGCCGTTCCGTTCGGATAGTATGGATAGACCAAACACCTAGACGTAACGAAGTCGGTTGCCATCAACGGAATGGGGTTGTGGCGACCTACATATGAATCTCCTGATGTTGGTGGACTCTCGGTTCCTCCACAAAGCCAAGAACAGGTACGATATACGTTCCATGGTCTTTTTCCCAGAGTGTCCGCCACATCTTCGCCTCCCGGTCAAACCGCTGAGGATGGCTGCATCAGGAATACTCTGTCACGTTCCGACAAAGCTACGTACCCTTTTCCATTCGGGGTTGTCAGCCAGTGCTCCACGGATCTTTTTCACGACAACCTTGTCCTTTCCCAAATACGTCCCAAGGTGGTAGTCGGTTACACCCGGGTCTCTGTTGGTCGGGATGGGCGTATTGGAAACCTGCACTTCTCCATGTTCCAGGAGTAGGTTTGGTAGGAGGCTTCCTGTTTCTTTCAAAGCACCGTGAAGGTTGGCTGCCAGACCCGAGTGTCTGGGTGCATCCTTCAGAAGTTCTCCCAAGGTCTACGCGAAGGGTCAGCCCTGAAAGTCTGTAGTGGCAGTCCGAGTGCGGACACACGTTCTGGACCCATCCTAGCATTCTGTCGAAATGCGATCTTTCTTCTCGTATGAGCACTTGCATATTCTCCTGCCCCTTTTTTAGCTCAGACACGTGGTTCACAAGTTCTTGGTGATCCTCCGCTCTGTTTCTCTCGAATTTGCGTTGGGTGTCTTTGATGTCCAACATCGATTGAACCTGAAATAACAATCAAGCGGCGATTAGACCCGCGACTTGAATGGAGGGTTACCTGCAATTTGAGCAAACAATTGTCCAGCTTGGCGATACAATCACTAATTCTGTCCGCGATCGCACTCTCTTCCAGAAAGGCGTCAACCCGGCCGATACTTTGCAATTCTTCTACGCGGCCGGCGACCCAGTTGATTGCGCTAGCATCAATTTATGAGTGGGCATCGTCGCACGTCGTAAAGAAGAACGTACTCTCGAGCTTCAAGGATGTCGTACTCAAGCTCTGGCGACGGTCTTATGGCTCGTTCGAGAAGCGCTAAGAACGTCTCGCACTTCTCAGCCAACTGTTGCGCAGCTCGCCTGGGGATTATGGGTAAGTTTTGATGATCCTGAGCAAAAAAGGTCGCCTACTTATTTGCCCCCATCTGCTCACACATCTCGACAATCTTCTTCGCAACCTCAACAACAGGCGCCAACATTGGCACAAAAGAGACGCCCACATCAGCCCCAGCGAGAACAAGAGACGCGAAGCGCGGTTGCCAGAACACTTGGCGAAATCTACGCGCTGCTGACTTGGATCGAACAGCCAATCGGCCGAATCGATCTCGCACAGCTATGATGAGGGTGGGCGAACCTTCGTCCACCCTCTGTACTTCTCCAGGTACGACCTCGGATGAACTGACGCTGTTGTCCATCGCCATTTGAGACGGCTGAGTCGGGCTCGAAGCGCAGAGAATATAAGGCTAGCCTTTATACGAGCTGCAGACCGCGTGGATCATACAGTTCTGGCGCCGAAGCATCCCGAGTACAAGAGAGCCGCCCAGGGCAGGGACAATAGTGGGGCGAGGCGATGCGTGGAGGACTATCTTCGCCTCATGCCTTCGAAGGCACAGCAAGATGACCATATGCAGAATCCTCCATAACATCTCGACAGCATGCTTGGTGCGCGTATCGATTCGCAACCGCGCTTGTCCAATGATTCCCTTGTTTTCGTTTGTCTTATTCCGAGCAGGTGACCAACGAGGCGGCAACATATCGGCGGTGTCGGGCAAGCATCTCACAACGCTCAGATCGCCGCTGCCTTCTCCTAGCTGCTGTTAGAACGTCCCCAACACAAAAGCAATCCAGATGAGTTGTAGACCACATCATAGAGCGAATATGTACCCGAGAGAGCGGCCAGAGTCCATTGTTCCCTAAGTACAACAATGCCGTTGACATGATCAGGTCCGAGTCGGCAAGCTACGGAGAGCGCCCACAAGGGCAAACAATGTTTGTGTGTCCTTGTGGGCGCCCGTTTCCAATCGCCGCACCACCGTGCTGATCCCGTAGGCTATACACTGTTGGTCTTCTGGTAGCTCTCCCATTCCTGAGGTGTTGTCAGAACACGCGAAGTACACGCAGCCATTCACATGCTTTTACCGATGTCTATTCTCGTTCGTATCAGCAATTCCAAAGGAACCTGCTGTAGGAATACAACCGACCGTTGAATTCGTCTGTAACTTACATACACAAATGCAATTGTTTTAACCCACTGTCCCCATCCTTCACAACGGCTCGCTAAGTGGGTGTCTGACCAGCATGCACCGCGACCGTGGACCCAGTCATGAAGCTAGCCTCATCGCTAGCCAAGAACAACATCACATTCGCAATCTCCATCGGGTCCGCTGGCCTGCCCATAAGATTCGTCTTCAGAATCGCCTGCTTGACCTCCTCTGGGAAGGAATCCTGGTAGAGCTGCGTGTTCGTCGCCCCGGGCTGGATGGTGTTGACGCGGATCCCGTACTTGGCGAACTCCTGCGCGCCAACGAGACCCAGCCCGCGCACGGCCCACTTGGCCGCGACGTAAGGTGAAAACTCGGGCTCGCCGTACGTGGACGCTACGGAGGACGTTAGGACGATGGAGCACCCCTTTCCCTTATGAGGGGAAGCAATCATGGAGGCGACAGCGTGCTTCACCCCAAACCACGCTGTCGAGGGCGTCATGAGTGGTTTAAGTTGGCATGAACTCGAAGACAGGGACTCACGTCCTTTCACGTTGACGGCGAGCATCTTGTCTATGACGCTCTCGTCTGTCGTCAGCCACGGCTGAGTCGGGTGCCCCAAGCCCGCGTTTAGCAGCGCAATATCGAGCTTCCCCCACTTCTCCAGAGGGAGCTCGCAGCTCGCTTTCACATCCGCCTCCTTCGTGACATCTCCCTGGATGAAAGCGATCGAGTCCTTGTACTCGTCTCTCAGAAGCTCGGGGTCTTGCTGGGCTTTCGTTATGTTAAGGTCCGCGACCACGACCTTTGCCCCCTCCGCCAGGAACCTCTTCGTTGCGGCCAGACCTATCCCTGCGCCCGCACCCGTGATAAGGGCGACTTTCCCTGCGAGTCGACCGGTGCCAGACATTGATGAGACGCTCACGATGAACAGGTCGGAGGATTTGTGCGTCGGGAGAGAACGACGAGTGCCTATTCCCCGTTCGTTTTATCTCACAAGAAGCTGATTACAGAGCAGGAGGACTCACAGGAAACCCATGACCCGATGCCCCTAACATAACACACTAGTCGAACTCAATAAGCGTTTCTCGCTCATTTTCTCAGTGCGCTGAAGCCTTTCGGGGTCCCTGCCGAACGGCGATCGGACTTGGGATCTCAGCGCGAGCGAGAAAACGAGAAACAGCTCCTCGAGCTGTTTCTCTCGTTTCTCTGGGGCGGACTTTCAATTGCCATGCGCTGCACTGATGTACCAGGCTCTCGGTTGCTTATGTCATTGCCTAATACGATATGTTTTTGGCTTGTTGTGATGCGCTGTTGGACGCACGCTAAGTTGTGCTCCGGCACCCTTGCAACTACTGAGCTATGGCTCGTGCTCCACGACTCTGCAGGAAAAAGTCAGAGGCTCCTTGGAAAATCCTTCGACGTCTCAGTCTTGCCCTCCTGGCCGATGCTCAAGATGATACCGAAGAGGCTGAAGCCCTAGCGCTTTTTGCGCTGTCCATGCGACAGAAGAAGGAGGCTCTACGGATGGGAAAGCATGGTCCAAGGGGAGCGTATGATGCTATCAAGGTCGAGGAGTTCTTTCGGGTTCTGCTCTATGAGTGGTCTGATAGGAAGTTCAAGACGTGGCTCAGGTATGTCTCTGCCCTTGCAACCGAGTGCAAGTACTGAGGGCATCCAGAATGGATCGCGCGTCCTTCTGGCACGTTCACGATCTCATCAAGGACAACCCGGTTTTCTTTTCCGGGAACGGACGTCGACAACGGCCGGTTCAGTATCAACTGGCAACTTTCCTGTGCCGAATAGGCGGCGAGAGCAATGAGAAGGCTGGGGATGTCACCGCGATCGCAGAAGGAACGACATATCTGTACTGCGAGCGTGTCTGTCGTGCACTCCGAACCCTCAAAGCTCAACACCTTGCATGGCCAGGCCCCGAGCGGCGGCAGTTCCTGAAGGAATGCATGGCGGAGTACGGGTTCCCTGGTTGTATAGGCATTGGAGATGGGACATTCTTCGGTCTGACAGAGAAGCCGTGGGTGAACGGCTTTGCTTACTGGTGTCGGAAGAAGTTCTATGCAGTACGTCGGAATTGACCACACTCTGCTGTCGGCAAGGCTCACATTGCGCTAGCTTGTTCTCCAGGTCATCTGTGATCACCGCGGCATCATCCTTGACTACGAGGCTGGCTGGCCAGGTTCTGTGGCAGACAGTACTGTCTTCAAGGAATCAGATTTATGGAAAAATCGTACGCGGTACTTTGCAAACGACGAATACATTCTCGTCGATAAAGGTAAACTCTTTCAGCTTCAGGAACGTTTATTGACTCCATTTTAGGCTATCCTCTCACAAAATACTCAATCCGACCCTTCGCCGACCATGACCTAACAAATGACCCTGAAGAGGCGGCGCGCCGTACTCGTTGGAACGCGAAGCTGTCGAGCCTCCGCATTGCCGTCGAGCATTGTTTTGGCCGTCTCAAGGGGCGGTTCCCGATCCTTCGCCACTTTCCTGGCCATGACCTCGACTACATATTTCGTCAGATTGAAGCTATGTTTATTCTGCACAACATCCTGGAGGCATACGGTGATGACCCAGAGACTATTGAAGGATACAATGGCAGGGAAGATCCCGAGGTGGATGAGATCATGGGGGATATACCTGAGAATGCACGTCTTGTGAATGGGGATGATGGACTGTCTGCTGATGATTTATATCGTACTGGATTGCTTCGTAGAAAACTACTGCTTAGATCATCTTAATTGTTATTTAGACAGCAATATACTATGCATTACTGGTACTGAGGTTATGTTGTAGATGTCTTTTATTCGAAGCCATCCTGTTCCTCCTCTTCCGCCAGTCGTGCAAGCATCTTCTCGCCCTGTGCCGCAACCTTAGCATTCGCAGACGAACTTAGCTTAATCGCGCGGTCCCACATCCCTGCACGATGCTCTCTCTTCTCCCGTTTGCGCCGTTCCTCGAGCTCTTCTGCAGCGCGCTTCTCCGCACGCTCTTCTAGTTCGAGTCTCCGGGTCTCCCGCGCATCTGTGGCCTTATGACGAGCTTGCATGGTCGCGAGAATCTGCTTCATGAATGCTTCGTCACTGCTCGCAGCAGGGCTTGATGACCTTGCACTCTTCAAGCGCCTGGGCTTCCCATTCTCGTCGTCGGAGGTCGCACTAGCTCCGTTGTACACCCGAGTCCTAACGACTTCGGTGTTATTGTGGGCTCTGTAATGTAAGGGTCATTTTACTGATGCTAGGTTTTACAAGATCGTACTCACACCTCATCGATGAGTCTGTATACTTCGGACTGCTCAAACCTATCAAGTACCGCCTTAGAGTAGCGTGCTTTCTTCTTCGTGCGAGGCTTGTCTCCGCCATCACCGGCACTGCCCTCCACCTGGCCATCACCGAGCTCCTTAGGCTTCTCGCCAGTTTCGGCATCAACTTCCGCTGCTGGCACCGGACTCTCTTCCTCGCCCTCTCGCTCCTCGTCATCGCCGTCTTCTTCTCCACTACCAGCTCCGGTGTCATCGACGTCTCCATCTCCTCCGCCGGTGTGCTTTTCTCGGCGACGGCACGTCTTGTACTTGTCCCACACCTTGTGCCACAAGTTGCGGACTTGGTCTACGTCTTTCCTGCCGCCCAAAATCTTCTGGGAAATCGTCTGGAAATCATGCGCCTGCTGCGCCTTGAACTTCTCCCATCGTTTCGGTTCGACAATGTACTTCACGACAGTTAGCGTATCGGATTCCGACCACGTAGTTGCCGTGTTCTTGGTGACGCTCTTGGCCTCCTTTTTGCTCAGTCCAGCGACGTCGTCATCCGATGCACCAGGCTCTCGACGATTGACGCCAGACTTCGCACCCTGCCCACGCGGCTTCTTAGGCTTCTTGGGTGGCTTCTCCTGGTCGTCCTTGTCAGCCTTCTTGGTGCGTTTTTTGCTGGATGCTTTATTGACCTTGCCATTAGCGTCGCTTGCTGTCTCTTCAAGTTGCGAAGGTTTGGTCTGGGCAGGATGGTCTGACTCCTCAGGAGCCTGCCTGACCTCCGTGGAATCGAGCCTAGGAGGGGTACCGGGTAACGAGCGGAAGTGTTGCGAGCCCGGTTGAGGTGCATCGGGAAAGAAGTTAGGAGGAGGTTGGGCGTACTGATTGTAGTCTTCAGCAGATGCAATCGAATGCCGGCGCCGTGGAGATACCCTGAGACCTCGCTCATCTACCTGGTAGTTCTGAGGGACATGGTTATTTGTAGGGGTGTAGTGTGCTCGTTGCTGTGTCCACGGCGTGGCTTGAGGAGCATGGTGAAGGCCGTCTGCAGGGGGGAAATTCCATTGCTGGTGGTTCTGTGACGGCTGTGGGGGGACAGGGCCAGTATAGTGACCTTGATGATACTGCCACATACTGTCCCAATCTGCCACGAGAGGAGTGAGGTTGGGAGAGGGATGGAAAATACTATGTTTGGTATCTACATGAATTGTAACATATGCCTATTTGAGAATACAGCACGTGGGATGAGCACGAGCTATCTGACAGCTGTGGTGTCTAGTATGCAACGAGAAATCCGCCAGAAAATGCACGCTCAATAACTTCGGGTTTCTCCGTGTCGCCGCGTCGGCAGGAGGGGTGCCAGTGCGCCCGAGAAAATGAAAACGAGAAACGATATTGAGTTGGGCTACTCTTTGACAATCACTGCGCCTTGAAAGGATCCCTCCCGCACCGCTGCAGCGTCCGCCTATCCGAAGCTGATCACGAGTGCAGGCGCAGGAGATATTCAGCCTATACGCAGTTACCGGACCCTTGAAAGCCGAGACTCTCTACTGCAGACGAAGCAACGAAGGCTCACGAAAGGCTTGACAGCAGTCCGGGACATCTGACATGTTTCGTACGGTCAAATTTGCTGGATAGATTCGAAGGTAGTGAAGAGGGCAGACTTAGGCATTCAGATGAATAGCGAAAAGCGAGGGAGACTACAAACTGGAATTTTCTCACGAATAGAAAATGGCTAAGGCGGCATCCCCTTGGCTTCCGCCTTAATGTTCCTCAAATGTTCCTTTTCATTGCTCAGGCTGCATACCTTCCTGCCTTGGATATACCCGCCTGTCAGGAGCTTGCATAGCTATGAGTCTCGGGAAGTCGACGCAGTTCTCGGTCAAATGTGTCAGAATGCGACCCCTCCAGCTGGGCAGGCTGATTTCGCCTGGACTCTTACGCGGGCGACGGCAACGAAGCACGACGTCGAGTGAGGACGGCCAACAAGAATGGCCTTACCCTATATCATCCTCCGACCCAATAACCGACCGTAAATCTGTCTTCGAAGGGCACGCATCTCACCTGCCATCCGTTTCCCACTTACCCGCTTTCCTGGACCATGTCACTTCGTCCAAACGGACCAAGAAAGCTACGCACCGTATGTATGCTTACCGTACCTCTGCCTTATCCTCTTCTACCCCCCGCACGGCGTCGAGTGGCGCGTTTTTGAGCGGGGAGGAAGACGATGGCGAAGGGGGAAGCGGAGAGAGATTGACCAGACTACTGGAATTGAACGACTGTCGAAACGTGGTGGTGGTCGTATTCCGATGGTACGGAGGAGTGAAACTCGGTAGCGATAGGTGGAAGAGAATCAGCGAGGCGGGGAAGGAAGCACTTGCGAAGGGAGGCTTCGTTCCAGAGAAGGGGCGCAAGCGAGGAACGAAGAAGGATAAGCGAAGTTTGAAGGTGAGTGCTGTTTAGAGTGACCGAGTGTCAGCCAGGACCGTCAGAGGCTGAGTGTCGATTCATATGACTGCAGAGCTGATCGATAGAACACCCTCTGCCTGATGGTGTATCCGATCCCTCTCCCATTCAGGAAACCTCATTCCCGATAATCCCATCATCTCGTAGAATCTCAGACCCCCCGTACTCAACACTGACTTCCGACACCTTCATTGTGAGCCCCGAGTTCTGATCCGGGACACTGAATTCCGGTATCTGAGCCATCGAACACGGATACGAAGTTCGACATCTTCACGGCGTCGGACTTGACGTAACATACCTGGACGCCCTACCGTCCTTCCTATGCCTCTGTTCTCTGCCTCACTTGTCCATCTTTTCTGGAACCATACGTTCTCTGTGAACCCTCTGTATCTGGCCTGCTCTTCTCTACCACTCCCTTCGCGGAGCCAATCGGCACTCCCGCTTCTGTGAGCACCCTCTTCGCCTCCGTCTCCGCCTGACTCGGGCCTGCTGTACTGGCACCGTGAACTCTATGGTCCTTTATTTCTCTCTGACTCGCTCTCAGTGATGGTGAATCGAATGATGAGATCTCCGTGCAGTCTGTATGTCATCGAGGAACTGCCGGATGAATGTGAGTAACAGATATATGTATGCGCTATCGCGCCTCTTACGTCCGCAATCAGGGTCGGCCACAGACATTGATGTGGCGCTTACACTGTGGGGTCGTGATCTGTGCATCATGTCAGGACACGCGATGATGCTTCTAGAGATGCAGTGTACTGCGCCTACGGTGTTATGACTTCCTCCCCGCTGTCTTGACCTGAGGGAGTAAGGATCGCTATCGTCTCTTCTGATTCGCCTGGAACTCCTTCAGGGATCCAGACATATCACTACCCGCCAGTTTGTTACAGACCGTCTTTTCTGCCATATCCCTTGAGTCCATGCAGATTGTTGGCTATCGCGCGGAGTATTTAGCATCGTCTCCGACTGCGGAGATGGTGCGGACATCTTGCCGCCTGTCACTTCCCCATGATGGATGGACTGCCTGCCCCGAGGCGTCGTGAAGGTGACTCGCTATACTATACTGTATGTGGCTTACTCTCTGGGTGCATATTTGCTTACGCGGATTCCATTCCTCGTTGCAAGCTCCAGCGCAACCGCGTGTATAATAATATCCTACTACGACGTCATACTCCGCAGTGCAGTATGCAGCGAGTATAATATAAACTCTCCTGTTCGTTCGCCCCACAACCCTCTTTGTATGTCCACACACTACCCTTGCAACTGGTCAATGACCGTAGTGCACGATGCAACAGCTGCGTCAATACCAAGGCGGTCTCGAATACGTTGCTGACACATATGGCTCGCGCCAGGAGTATTGGCCACAACTGGACGACTCTCAGTCAGACATTGTGTACGAAGTCAGAGCCCCGCAAGAAATAATTGACTACCTACGGTCTGATCCGCGTTGGTCTGTACAGACTTCGGGACGGTCGTCGATGACTGGACTGGTCGGACCAGGTCGCTTGCAAGACATAATGCTAGCGAGGCTGGGGCGACGGCTGGAAGAAGTACTAGCCGCTGCGTCGGAGCGCCGCAGGAGGTGGCATTTACCTGAAGGTGAGCTACTCCCGGGTCTGAAGCGTGTGCGTGGGTCTAACTGCCTACATAGATCTGTACCATCGCATCCTCTTTTTCTTCTTTTTTGGAAAGGGGAAGTGACCATGGTCAATTGGCATTGGGTTGGGCTCTGCCAAGGACTGCTGTAGTATACAAGAACACTATCAATTATATCTAATCTTCCAACCTACTGTATTTGTACACCTTCCTGATCGCATGGAGTTCACACATTGCCCGCCTTCAAGCTTCAACGTTCAACAACTGACAACTATCCGGACATACCATCCGGAACTCGTCAGATCTTGCTGCTTATGCGACGCCAATAGGGCATGCGCTCACGTCCTGTTAACGCGCTGGCTCACTTCCACAGCCTCGCGGTTGTCACAACCTCAGTTCGAGTCTACTCGATCGACCTATCCGATAGCATGACTTGTGGTTATCCAAATAACATGTCGAAGTCTCTGTGTCCGTCAGGGAAATTCACTTCCGACAACCCCATCGTCTCGCAGCGTCCTTAGTTCCTTCGCAGTCAGTCCCAACTCTCTCACCAAGACCTCCTCGTTATGCTCGCCCAGATCTGGTCCAGCCCACCGAGTTTGGGGGTCCGACCCTTCAAGCAAGGGCACTACCTTCGGCATTTTCACGTACCACCCAGAGCCAGGGTTGGGAGCTGAGACGACCCCCTTTGATACCCCATCGTCGTCGGTCCAGCTCTCATCATCTCGGGATGTTCTCTCCGCCCGAGCCGACCGTCCCTTGACCCACACGTCCTCGACAAACCCTCTGTCCTTTACCTGCTCATTCTCCACCACCTCCTTTACGCTGTTCACCCGTCCGGTCGGCACGCCCGCCTCCCTGAGCACCCTCTCCACCTCCTCCACGCTCCTCTTACTGGTCCACTCGACGATGGCTTGCTCGATCTCTGCCTGCCGCTCGACGCGGTGTTGGTTATGCTGATACTTTGGCCCGGTCAGGTCAGGGCGGCCCATCGCTTGCATGAGTCTGTTGTAGATGGAGTCGCCATTGGCACCGATGATAATATATGTGGGGGAGGAAGGCGAGGAGGAGGATGGGAGGCAGGGGTAAGCGTTGGTGGGGACTATGCCGGTCAGCGAGGAACCGGAGGGACCTCGGATCTGACTTGAGAGTCACACGTTGCGTGGAGAGCATGATCGACACGACGGACCTTTCCTTTTCGATCGTACTCGGGGATGATACCCTCCATCAGGTTGAGCATGCTACAGTATCGATTTGCAGCTCGTCTTTCAACAGCACCCGCGTTTCCTACCTTTCCATAATGCTCACATCGACAGTCTGGCCGTTGCCGCCACATTTCCCCCTTTGCAGGAGAGCTAGCACCTACCCTCTAAGAATTACGCGGGTGTATCTTGGGAGAACTTGGCATTTACCGTCCCGAAGGCTGCATGGAGTCCCGCAACCGAGTCTCCCAAGCTCATGTTCGGGCGTACGGGAGGTCCTTCCAACCCGCCATCTCTGTCTGGGAATCCGTTGATGTATCGGAACCCTGACTCGGCTTCGCAAACTGACGCGTAGCCGGGGCGGGAGGCCCAAGGTCCTGTTTGGCCGTATCCGCTCACGCGGGTGAAGATGAGTGATGGGTTGTGGGGGTGTAAGGCGTCAGGACCAAGGCCCCACTTCTCGAGCGCTGGCGGGTAAGGTCAGTAGTGAGACGCGGCGGGAGCAAAAGGGACGCACTGCCAGGTTTGAAGTTCTCGAGTATGACATCGCATTTCAGCGCCAGTTTGCGTACTAGGCTGAGTCCGTAGTGGTGAATAAGGCACCTGAGTGCGCATGTGTGCTGCACTCACTCTCTGCCTCCTGCCTTTCTCATGTCGATGGTAACGCTTTTCTTGTTCCTGCCGATGCAGCGCCACCAGGGACTGGTTCCGTCTATGTCCAGTTCCCTCCACACACGCAGAGGGTCGCCGGTCTTCGGTGGCTCGACCTTGATGACTTCTGCTCCGTAATGTCTGAACTGAAGTTTAGCTTATGAGTTGCTCCTACCGGCTTCCTGGTCACCTACGCTAGCAGTTGTCCTGCGAACGGACCCGCGATCAGTTGACCTAGTTCCAAAACTCGTACTCCAGATAAGGGTAGGTAGGACGGAGTCTCAGCTACGGCAGATGTGAAGCTGCGGGTCTGTGTCAGTCGTACGAACTTGATGTACTACGGGAAAGAATATGATATTCGGAAATGCGAAGAGGAGCATGACCCCTAGCAAGATGAACGGGCTGAAGACACATATCCTGATTTGCGAGGTATCCGCTGTCGCTAGACGCAGCCGCCAGCGAGAAGGCATTTGTCGTCACCAATCTCGCTTGGGGAAGAAAGACCCACTGACAGATTAGTAGCATTCACAGCCCACCAAAGATAGTTGAGTTCCCCTGCACGGTGAATCGGACGCCCCTACCAGGTAACGACAGTCCAGGAGCCTCGATCCAGAACAAGCAGACCCTTTCCTTTGCTATGCCGGGTAACTTACGCACCATCTATGCGGCATCAGCAAGCTTGTGACCATTGCAGATTTTGAGGTACGAATCCGAGCTCTTAGTGTCTGCATGTTTTCAGTTTCAGCACCGACACCAGAAGTTAAGCTGCTACTGAATGCCGCCAAAGAGCGCTCCCGACTACTGAGAGCAGCTGGTGGCAGTGGAATGATAGTCGGAGAAAGTCGACTTGTGGCGCTGACAATGGGTGTCAAAGGGTCCGAAAACATCCGAGCTCACACTGGCGAGGCGTCGACGGGAGAGATGCAACAAATGTCTTTTTGTGAGCTGCACCGTCGTATTCGAGTCTTTCACCACTTACCACTGTCGTCGAATTGCACCCAAAGATCCTCGGGTTCTCTTACCTGAATCTGTCACGCTTGTTTCGCTGAATGCGACATTGAGTGCCCGCAGATTTGAACTCTCAAAGCGAAAGCTGGCCTGGCGACGACAAGGAGGAGGTTTTGCGGAATCAGGGCTCACAGACGCTCCGAAGCAAAGGTTAAAGTACTCGAGCTTAAGTTGTCGGCGAGCCTTGCGCCTGAGGTGCGTTGAGGTTATCTGGAGCAGTCCTGCGTTGCGGCAAAGCCTAACAATTAACGTCGCTCCGTGCGCGTGCGCAGAGTTCGCGAACAGCGCTCATGTTTGTACTCTGTCTCGTGTTGTGCCTCCATTACGTCCTTCGTCAGCGCTCTCCCGTCCGAGTTATCCTGATATCCGCGGAAGTCATACTGAGCAGACTGACGGATGCCTCCCGCAATAGGCTTGCGTCCATATAGATGAATCCCTGTCTACAGTCCCGCCCACAGCGTTGCACCCGCCGTCACTTAAGCACCCGCCCCCTGACTCCAGTGCGATCGCCTTCTTGGCTCACAGTCGCATCTCCGGTTTCTGCAAGGTACTACACGAATAGACATAGCTGTATTCAAGTTCGCAGCTCCTCGATCCCTACAAGCTACGCCCTTCAGTATACGCCCATCAGGCACAAGTTGTCGCGGCTCATCTACTACGCCGGATCCTTGAACCCCTTAGTAACTCCAAACTTCTCTGCGGTGATGGTAGCCTCGAACGTGGCTGTAGTGCTGCCAACAAGACCCCACCACCATGACTCCGACTCGACATCCGCTTCCAGCTGGATCGTAGTAACCATACTGAAAAACTTGTCCGCGTCGCCCGGCTGCCTGTAGGCATACACGGTCCTATACTCCCACGACGAGTTGGTGCCGGAGCTGGACTCGGAAAAATCGGCAAAGCCGCTCGAGTGCGCCCACTGCAGGTTCGTGAAGGTGCTGTAGACATTGGCGCGCAGCTCGCTCTCGTCCACCTGGATGTCGAGTTGGTTGTGCAGCGCATCGACGATCCAGTCAAGGATCTCCTCGCAGACCTCGAAGACGACATCGTCGCCTTCGTCTCTGGGGGTCCTCTTTCCGCCTGGGGAGCTTTTACTCGAGATTCGGACGGCGTTGCCCTTGGGGAGGACGTGAGTCTGGATGTTTACCCCTGGGAGTGCTCTTCGGTCCTCGTCGATGTCGATGGAAACGAAGTCACTGCCGTGATAGTTGTCGACAGCCGCGTCGAAGGCATCCCAATTGAACCATTTCGGGTCGCTGCTGATCTCGACGTAGTGGCCGGAGAACTTGTTGACCTGCATGCCGGTGGTCACGAGGTCGGCTGGGAGAGTGGTCACTGAGTCGAAGTGCGTATCGGACACTGAGATAGCGGGTAAGTCTCAAAAGGTGTGCGGAGGGACGGTTATGTATCCACTGACTTTCGGTGTTATTCTGTCTGCTCGCCTTCCTGTTTACTGTAGGACAAGTTAACCTCGCCTGAACGTTGCCGAGCCATAGTGACCGTGGACTTACGACGCACGCCGAGTTCTCTTATTCTATGTAAGTTAGTGCACACAGAACGCAGGGTACTTATAATCGCGAGCTCACATCGCCGTGTTGGTTTATGTCGCGCTCTTCGGACCGTCCAAGTCGCCACCTTGGATTGCGACTTACGTCTATTGAGTGGGCAAGCTCTAGCCAGTGGCATGGAAGAGCATACTACAGTCGGCTGAGCCCTACCCTAACTCGAGGCCTGTCATGTGTAACGTGGAATGGAAGAAGGAGCTCTGAACTCATGAAGGGCATCTTACCAATACGGGAACTGTAGCTGCGTTCTTGTCAACCGCCCGGCTCCAAGTGTCTCATCCGCCCGTGTGTGATATTTGATGCTCACCACCTCATCCCTTCCTCAGGCATGGACGAAGGGAGGTAGGCGCTCAGGAACTAATTCGTGCTCGTCCCATCGCTACCTTTAGGTTCAGCATCGGTCCGCCTGTACCCATTCTGATGCGTGCGAGAGCATCCGATGCCCTTAACTGACTGCGACGTAAATGCAGACAAGAGGTCACTATCCTGCTCAGTTACTTGTAGCATTGAAAGGTGCAAGCCCCGCCTGAGCTGCTTCCTTTCTATAGCAGAAAGTCCTTATGAAGTACGTTGGTCATATCGTGCTGCGATACCCCATGTTCAGTCAGTTATACGAACTCCACCTCTCGTCTTTAGGATACTCATCTCTATTCAGGATGGATGATGCGTCCCATGATGCACATTGCTTGTCTTCTCGCTATCTCTGAGTTTCCTGGTATAGAGGCCTGGGTTCGGTCCGGAGAGGTATATAAACTGGGGCATATCGTCGAGCACAGTCAACAACAACCGCCAGTTTCAACGCACTTGATTAAACAGCAACAATGTCCGAGTAAGTCTTTTACTGTGCCTCTTCCAGTTCACTTGCTAATGATACGTTTTCTCGCCATCAGTGATCGTAAGTCTCCTTTCCCTTCGTCCAATTCCATTCAGATTACACTCATCGTACGCTGCTCAGCCGCCTACTTCAATGAGTTCTCCAAATTGCCTTCGGCCCTCGTGACCACTAGTATGCAAGTGATGAAATTCAGCGGACGCCCTGGAGAATGGGGACGAGCAAAAATGGTTCGACTGGGACGGTTTTCACACCGCGATTAACGGCTACAAAGGTAAGGTCGATATGACATTCTCTTAGGTGTGATGGCTCTTATTCGTCAAGCTAGGCGACGACCTTACATTCGACAAGTTCAAGAGCAACAAGATAAACCAGTCGACTGCGACTGTATCCACCATGGTCGACAAGATTGTCACCTTCATGCGCGACGCGCTGAGCGTGGTGCTCCTGGATAAAGATGTCACCGCACTGAAGGCTAATATCGAGGCGACGTTCACGAACCTCAAGGAGGCAAAAGACAAAGGTTGGGCTGACTTCTCCAAATCGAGCTCTGCGGAGAACTCGTCCTGGGAGTACCGCGTCCTGTTCGCCTTCCCGAACCCGGACCTGGAGGACTTCTTCTACAGCTTGGTGACGACCATCAAGCTCGAGGCAGACATAACCGAGGAGTCGAGTTGGTGGGGATTGACGAGCAGCACCTCGAGGAACTTCTCCAGCGCGATTGATGCCATGGAGCTCGTCGTCATGAAGGGCTTCAGGGACCCGTCAGAATAAGCTCGATGTAAGGGCCGTCTACTTTGGACGTCATTACGCGACCTGATATCTCTCCCTCAGCTTCAGAAATGGAATTGCGCCTTGCTCTTGGTAGGCCTCAAATGTACTAGTGTTGTCGAATCATGAATACATGCGGTGTGTAGACCGATGATGAATGCTTGTAAGTCGGAGGCACACTGATATGTGGGAAGACTACCTGATGGTAGAATCGCCCATGAGCCATCCCACCGGGTTTGTGAAAGAACCACGATTGCTGATCACAATCAATACGACAGCCAGACTTGTATGCTTACCCTACGGATTGTAGGTTATAAGATGCTCGAGACGTTCAGCTATGTCGGACTTGTGGACAGAACTCGGATCCCGGTACTGTGCATAGGTGGCAGTGTCGCTAGCATATGTCTTGGTGAGATATCTTTTCGGCTTGCGAAAGTGCTGTCGCCATTCAAAATACGCTTATGTCCAGGCAATAGGGTACATTGGAGCAACCTCGCTACGGGTACATCTACCAAGAAAAACCGTAACCCCGTCTCTCTTCGTCTGTCCTCTCTGCACTGGTCACTGTATCGGGTCGGTGAACCCTTTCGTAGCCCGAAGCTGTCCGGCCCTAATGGTAGCGCAGAAGCGCGCTGTAGTGCTACTGGTAAGGCCCCACCAGGACGACTCGGACCTAATGTCCGCCTCCAACTTGATCGTGGTGACCATACTGAGAAACGTGTTCGTCTCCCCCGGCTGCCGATAGGCGTACACCGTCCTGTACTCCCATGATGAGTTGGAGCCCGAGCTCGAGGAGGAGAAGTCGGCGAAGCCGCTAGAGTGGGCCCATTGCAGGTTGGTGAATGTGGTATATACGTTCGCGCGCAGCTCGCTGACGTCTGCAGCGACACCGAGGACGTCGTGTAAGATATGGATCATCCAGTCAAGGATTATCTCGAAAACGATAACTCTCCGGGCTTGGAGCGCCTGATTGTCCCCCGGGGAAGTATCGCTGGAGATCTCGACGACGTCACTGTTGGGAACAACGTCGGTCTTGAGGGTGATCCCAGGCAGCGCACGTCGACCAGTATCGATGGGTACCGAGACTAGGTCGTCTCCTCTGTAGCTGGTGACAGCAGCGGCGAAGCCGTACCAATCAAACCATTTGGGGACGCTACTGACATGGACATAGTGCCCCGTGAACTTGCTGACTTGCATGCCGGTCGGTACGAGGTCTCCCGGTAGTTTCGTCAAGGAGTCGAAGGGAGTGTTGGCCGCTACCCTGAGCCGTAAACATCGGTCACGAGGAGCAAAGGTTCCGAGTTCCACTCACAGGCCGTGACGATCTCGCTGGTAGATTCATTCTCTTGGGCTCTGCAAAATGTCTCAGATAATGACGGGGAAGTTACACAGAAATTTCTGACCTGGACGCCATTGTCTTTGACTTAGCAATATACTCGGATGGAGCTCTTCTCGGTCTCGCGGAAGTATGTACTTATACCAGTGAGTCTCCAAGGTCGTGCATAATTGACACGGTGGGGTACTACTACCATTCAGGGTGAAATTTAGAAGAGCGCTTAATTGTGCTGGCTAGACAAATGGCACGTCAAGCCAGAATCAAGCCTTCACATAATGCATGACAACATCATGTTGAGCTGGAATGGAAAGAACAGCAACTGAACCGAATAGGAGACACGCTATCATCAGCTGTCATCCGATCGTTCCTTGCACGCTCGTCATGGTACGAAGTCTGGATCCATCATCCTCCCTGAACTCAGTACTCAGGGCTTGCCCTGTTGTGCGTGTACACGCACCTTCTCCGGCGCTACTAGAAGTGAAGGCCGCCGCGACATCGTAAGCATGATGTTCAACGCTCGCATTGCCGAAACATCAGGACCCCCCTAGGCAGCGATGGCAGTGAGTCAGCGGTTCGACAACGTTAACGCTTCAGCGGAGACAGATCTCATTCGGTCATGCTGCGAACCCGTGCTTTTTAAGCACCGTACTCTGTTCTGAAATCCGCATGCTTGAAGGACTGATGGGAACGGCACCGCAATGGCCGTGAGCGAAGCTGGCGTTATAGGAGCGGTCACTTGCAATGACTAAGACGATTATTTCCGCCCGACGAAGGCTAGCAAGTGTGTTCTACTCGGCTCTGCACCACGGACCCGCAGGTCCTAGTACACTGTGACCCAAAGCCTGTGCACATAGAACCGACCGTTATCTCTGGGATGTCTCTGCCATGGTCTTCTTCATGCATGATCTCGAGGTTATTCGGACTCATTTGTCAACGCAAGGTACGACGAGAGGAATTCGTATTTCTTTGTCGTGCTAAAGACAGTATAGACCCGCAGAATTACGTCTACTCCGTCGGGATTTTAACAGCGCCGGTGTGTAATTAACTTCCACTATTCAACCCATGAATCTGTTTGACTTCGCTTAGGTGGATTGTCAGTTCCATTCCTTGTGGACATATCTCTAGATAACACGCGTTTATTGGCCTAGTTCTTCCCTGCGTACTTGGTCTGAGTGTGCTAAGTGTAGGGGTATATAAAGCAGTGGACGTCGACGAGTCCTGTTATCCCCAAGTTACACCTGCATACCACACGAACACGGACTACATTTCTTACGATGTCTGAGTATGTCGATCCATGTCTATTGTCCTATCGACTACTAATATTCGGCATATCATGTTTGTTTCCTTGGACACCAGCGATTGTGAGTGCCCATATTTCTCTGGTACTGCGCATCTAGTTGAGCAATGATCTCGCATGTAGCCGCCTACTTCAACGAGTTTTCGAAGTTGCCGAGGGACCTCGTACCTACCAGTATGCAGGTCATGAAATTCAGCGGCCGCTACGTCCACCTGGAAAATGGCGAAGAGAAGAAGTGGTTCGACTGGGAGAATTTCCACAACGCGATTAACAACTACAAGGGTAAAGTTCATGCCTCTATCTACCAGGTTCCACGGCTCTGATACGTTTGAGACAGGCGACGACCTCACCTTCGACAAGTTTAAGAGCAACAAGATCAACCAGCAGACTGCGACCATTTCTACCATGGTCGACAAAATCGTGACCTTCCTGCGTGACGCGCTGAGTGTGGTGCTCTCCGCTAAAGATATCACCGCCCTCACGGCCAACATCACGACTACGTTCACGAACCTCAAAGAGGCGAAGGACAACGGATGGGCGGACTTCTCCAAGTCCAGCTCCGCGGAGAACTCGTCCTGGGAGTACCGCGTGCTGTTCGCCTTTCCGAATCCGGATCTGCCGGACTTCTTCTACAGCCTGGTGACGACCATCAAGCTCGAGGCGGACATCAAGGAGGAGTCGAGCTGGTGGGGGCTGCAGAGCAGCACCTCGAAGAACTTCTCCAGCGCGATCGATGCCATGGAGCTCGTCGTCATGAAGGGCTTCAGGGATCCGTCGAACAACTGAAGGTAAGAGTCGACGACTTGCGATGTCGCCAAACGCGCTGACGTTGATGACTCATGTACTTCCAGTTGAACAACCAGCTGACTACGTCCGCCGATGTCTTTCCATGTAGTATTAGCCGCGCGTTGTAAAGTTGGAGTTCCTCGAATGAACTCCCAAATGCCATGAATGCGAAATTGAGCAGTTTTCGGAGCGCATAGTTGAAGCTCAGCTAATAAGCGCTTGGCAGTAGCATCATCCCGTGCGCAATTCCGAGTCCTCTGAGTCGTCGTAGCCCTTGTGGCTTCGTCGCTAAATGGATAATTACGATCTCTCGATGTGTTGAGTTCCAGATGCTTCCGGAGACATATGAGGCATGGGATCTTGCTTATTGTAGCCCGGAATGAGTATTTCCTGGCGAGAGCTCGAGTAGACGATTGGTACGAACTACTGAGTACATAACGAAATATTGTTCGTTGGGTCTACTTGGTCTCCACCTTCTCATGCAAATGCGCTCTGCCGGCTCCCTCTCAGTTTCTTCACTGTCTTAGTCTCTCTGACATTTGTGAGTTCTGAAGATAGCGGGTGTCAGACTGGCACCCTAGACCTGTCTTGGGTAACCGAAGTTGTCCATGGTTTGTCGAGGTTTGTCGGCACAGCCTCTCGAGTCTTACTCTTAAATATTGATTAGTCGACTCGTTTTCGTTCTAAGTATGGAGATTCGATACAGAAGTTCAAACATTCGGACCTTAGGTTGATTCGTTCACTTTTTGTCCCATCATATTCGCAGCTCAAAGTAACTGGTCAGCAACGCCAAACCCTACACACCAGCAAGAAAATCGATGTGGCTCCTTGCCTCGACGTCGACGAGGACCCCGGCATATGGGTACTGATGTTTGATCCTAAGTGCCCGATTTTCGGCCCTTGTGGCCTCACACATTTGGACCGGATATGTCCGCCTCTAGGATCCGGTCAGTCCAAATTGGGCTGTTTATGTCCGCATAAGTGACCTATGTTCGGGCGCCCGCCGGTGTGTCCGCCAAACGGATCCAACCTCGAAACCGGCACACGCCCAACGCTGCAACGAGTAGATCGTGACATGATTACTCCGGGATATTGTATTCCAGTCTTTCTAAGATCCATCACTGTTTCCAAAGCTTGCATTTCATTCACCGTTGCTGAGGATATACCTGGATATACACGAGACAAGCTGACAGTTGACTGAGAAGTATAAGAGACACCACTCAACCTAGTACAAGGACTACTGGGTATGACATGTTGACACTTCGACGACTCGGTATGTCCGCCAGGTGATCGGACACCAAGACCGGCAAGGCCCTTGTGTCCGCCGTGATATACCGGACATGGACCGAAATTTTGGGCTTTATGTCCGCCTAAATATCCGACATAGGGCCAGGCTCCTAAACCATAGTAAACCATCCGTCCTTAGCGTTCTCGCTCCTCCTTTACTAGGGCGCACGTGCAGTGTTATATAATACAAATATATTTTTAATTTATTACCGGATACAGAACGAACAAGAGGAGGAGAACGCTATAGGACGGCTGGCACAAATGTCGTCGCCGAGATCCCCGAGGCTGACTAAGCGGACGGTGGCTGAAGCCTCTCAGCAGCGGTTGGCGGGCGATGTAGAGAGCGTCTCGACACCTACCTCGTTGAGCTCACGCAGAACACATATAAACGGGTGCTAAAATAGTTCAAGACCAATGCAAATACCTTTGGTATACTTCTGATGTTGGAGAGACAAACGCGCCCGGATTCCTCGCAACTGACATTTGCCTTTTCTGGACTATCGTATCTTGTTGACAGTTCCATACGATTCACCTCAGCAACGCTCGTTATTTGATATTTCCACTTATTAGACTTATGATAAACTCATATCAACGGTATCGTTATCTTTGTTCCTAGACGTATCATAGCATACAAGTACCG